TTCCAAACAAGGGGTTGAGGAATAGTGTCTGCTCAGTGCTCTTCTGCCCTTCATAGTGGCAAGTGTCGCCACTGAGCAGGGAGGGACCCTCTTGGCAGTGTGAGGTACATCAAGAGAGGGGATATGCCCAGCTGAGGCAGGAATGGACATCTTCATCATTTTAAATACATTTATACTATTATTATGGGACTTATTTATGTGTGTTTATTTCTTACACATCTCCCCCATTAGAATGTGAGCACGTTTAGAACAGAAATATCATTTAACTTCCTATCAGAACAGTACTTGGCCTTAGAATATGCTCAACTGATATTTGAGGAAGGAAGGGAGGAGGAGAGGAAAAGAGAAGGGGAAGGAAGGAAGGAAGGGAGGAAGGGATGGAGGGAAGGAGGGAGAGAGAGAGGGAGGGAGGAAAGAAGGAAATAAGAAAGGAAGGGAGGGAGGAAGGAAATAAGGAAAGAGGGAATAAGGGAGGGAGAGAGGAATGAAGGACAGAAGGAAGGAAGGGAGGAAGAGAGGGAGGAAGGGAGGAAGGAAGAAAAGAAGGAAGAGAGGGAGGAAGGGAGAAAGGAAGAAAAGGAGGGAGGGAGGAAGGAAGGAAAGAAGGAAGGAAGAGGCAGGGAGGAAAAAAGGCAGGCTGAAGAAAAGATAAGGAGAGCAGAGAGGAATTTATTATCATTCCCAGAACCAGCCTTAGAGGCTTAGTTAGAGCTCCTGAAATCTGGGTTCTGGAGGTTGGAGGGGCTAAGTAGCAGGTTAGTTTTGGATCCCACATCTAGGGTTTTCTACCCTCTGCTACTGGGTCGAAATATTTTGATGGGGCCACAACATGGCCAGAATCACTGAAAGCGAACTGAGTACTAACTCAGCACTAATTTTTCATTTGTTTGTTTGTTTGTTGTTTTGGAAACAGGGTCTTGCTCTGTCACCCAGGCTGCAGTGACAGTGGTATGATCATTCTTATCTCACTGCAGCCTCAATCTCCTGGGCTCCAGTGATCCTCTCACCTCAGGCTCCCAGGGAGCTGGGACCACAGGCATAGGCCACTGCACCCAGCTGGTCAGTGGTTTTTCACAGTGCCTTGTGGATGTTGTCGTGGTCATTTTGCTTTTCATCCTGGAGGTCAGAAATAAATTGGTGACACTGATTCTGAACGGGAAATGAAGGAGGGTGCCTGGAAAAAAAGAAGTAAAGGAGTGTTTTTACGGGCCACAGTTCCACACCAGTGATTTTTGGGTGAACGAATTTCCTTTTTGTGCCTGGAATCATATCTTCAAAATTAAGGGGATGAAGACAATCAGTATTTGGGCTGTATTTTTAAGCTGTGGCATCGTGCAAGGAACGCCAGTATATTAAGAAAAAAGTAGAACTTAATTAGTATTCATGTATATTATAGTATTTTCAAACATATAGCATTTACATATATAAATAAGAACAATTATAAGCCTGGATGTAAACCAAACATTGAAATCTACAGTAATGGGAGAAAGAGCCAACTTTTTATTTGCTATGATTATGTAATTTATTTTTGAATTTTGTGTCGTGCAAAACGAGGAGATTTTCACAGACAAGCACTTTCAGATAATAAATGCTTATTTTTCAATCTCATATTCTTCAGTTTAACCAAAACAGCAACTGAAGCCTTATTCTGAATCTTCAGAGATGTAAGTTACCCAGGTAACACGATTTAACATGTTTGGGGTCACCAATAAGCTGAAGTGTATTTTAGTAACTTATGAGCAGCTGATTTTTTTTAATTCCCATGATATGGTTAATAAATATTCAAAAGAATGTCTCCAAATCCCTGAACCTCCAAGTAGACAGCATGAACATCATTAAGCTAGAGGATTTATAAAAGTTCCTCTAGTTCTAAATGGCTCTAAATCTGATTATGGATGTATAAATGCAGTGGTTTGATTATAGCTCCTCGAACTCCTGGGCTCAAGTGATCCTCCTTCTTCAGCCTCCCCTAGGACTGTAGGTATGTGCCATTGTGCCTAATTTTTTATTTTTTAATTTAATTATTATTATAATTTTTTTTTTTTTTTGGAGACAGGGGTCTTGCAATATTGCCCAGGCTGGTCTTGAACTCCTGGCTTCAGGCGATCCTCCCACCTCGGCTGCATAGAGTGCTGGGATTACAGGCCTGAGCCATCATGCCTGGCCTGATTATGTATTTATTGTGGAGAGATTGTGTGCTGCGCCCAGAGACAAAGGGACCTACAACGCAAACAGTTCTTTATAGAGAGAGCATAAGGCTAAAGGTATTTTTCAGCACTTTCACTGTAAGGGAAGTGTTTTCACATATTATTTTATTTCATCTCCCCAAATAAATATATAATGTACATACTACTATTTCCTCGTTTTATAAATGGGGAAACAGAGGCTTAGAGAAGTTAAAATTTTTTCCGAGGGCAACAGCTAGTCAATGGCCATTCTGGGCCTCAAACCCACGTGGGTCCGCTGTGGATTTCTTGCTCTTAACCATCTTGCAACATTTTCTGAGTTTGCCAAAACCCTGCTTCGGAGCAGAAATGGCTCTGGCTCCTTGCTCATCCGGGAGGAAGGTGGGGTGGCGCACCAGCCCCTAAGAGAGCTGTGACTGACTCCTGCAGGCCCAGCTCCTCTGGTTTGCGCTGAAAGTGCCACTCTCCTCCTAGCTCAGCAGCCAACCCCACCCCCAGCCTACCCGAGCTGCTGGCAAGGCTGCCAGGTTTCCCGGGCAGGGAAGAAGAAAGCCTCCCATTAGCAGGAGGCTGCGGTTCGGAGCGTCCCTGGGACGAGAAGCATCTGTTGCTGCTCCCCATTGTTCCAGCTGAGAGCACGCTAATTGTCCCCTCCAAAGTTGGGCTGCCGTCTCTTGCCAGAGGGAAATTATGGACCCTTTTTCAGCAGGCGCTGTCCTTCCCGCAGCTGTCAGCTGAATGGCCCCAGGAGGAACAGACTGATTCGGAGGGTGGGGGGAAGTCCATCTTGCATCCTGATCCGTGCAGGGAAGGAAAGTCCTCACAGCCCTGAAAGGAAGCAGCGCACCCAGCAGACGGACTCCACCAGAGAACACATAGGCCAAGGAGCAAGGACGTTTCTTGTTCTTCCATACGATTCTACGGCCTGTGGGATGGTTTGCCCTGCGGCTGTCGGATCATTCAGGAGCTTGAATATGGCCAGCATTTTGGAGTAAAAAATAGTAGAACATGATTGGGAATCAGACTAGGCTGAGTTCAAATCCGAGCGCTGCCACTCATTAACCACGACCTTGAGCAAATCACTGTCACTTATCCACCTTACAGGGTAACTGGGAGGAATACAGAAGCCAAAAAATAACTATGAAATCGCCAGCACAGGCTGGCATAGAGCAGGTGCTTAATAAAGATGGTTTTTTGGTTATCATTATTACTATTAGTATAGCTCTGTATTGAAAGTCACATATGGGAGGGTCTCCTAAGTAAAGAAGCAAGAACATCACTCACATATTGAAAAAATATTTTAAGTCACCTACTAGGTTGCTGATACTGTGCAGGCAGCTAAATCACGAGAGAGACTGGGTCTACTTGGAAGTCACGGAAGATGAATATCTTGAATAGGAGCTGGAGAAACAGCTATTTTACAGTGAAGGGGGTCCTCTGGCAGAAGGAAGAGCTTGGGCAAAGACCTAGGGGTGACAGGAGTAAGGAGTGCCTCATTTGAGGATCTGAAAGTAGCTCAGTGCTGTCAGAACTCAGAAATTAAGGGCTGGAGAGGATCAATAATAGAATAGATAATTAATAATGGAAGGCAGCACCCTTAGCCCTAGTCATCTGGCAAATAAAGTCTATGGCAACCACTGAGATGCCGGACTTCATGTGGGATTTACGAGCACAGAATGGCAAGGGTGAGACACGAGGAAGGTCTGAGGCAATGCGGTACACACCTTAGTGCATTGACTACCACTTTGTAATGCACCACAAAGGGACATGCAGACTGTTGCCAGCTGCAAGGAGGGACTGCACACTGGGGAGAGAGGAAGGGAGATTTATCTGCCCAGCTCTCTCTTTTATTTCCCATTGGTAAAGATTGACTGCTTCCAGGTCACTTCATCTGTCCCCTTGGTGGCCACTCAGAGAGTCATCCCTCTGCCCAAGATGCAGTATCATGTGCCAGTCAGCAAGAGGAGGCGGAATCCAGCACACTAGGGTGCAGAACAAGAGACATCAAGCAGGAGGCAGGTGAGGGTGTCTGCAGGGATATTCAAAGCTTATGTGCTGGCTCAGGGGGAACACAGACTCCAGAGAGGAAGGGGAGGAGCATTGTCTTTATTTATTGCTATAGCAGATGCTGCTGGTGTTCATTCATGTCCCATTCCCTTTTTTTCTATTCAGCTAAACTACATTTCCCATATTCCCACTTCTACCCATTGCATTTAAATGGGAGCCTGTGACTGATTCTGGCCAATGAACCATAAGCAAAAATGATGTATGCACCATGTTCAGGGCTGGCCGGAATGCCTCCTACAGTCTCTTTCACCATCTTTTTCTCTCTTGTCCTCCATGGCTATAGAAGACAGCCTGGAGCCAGTTGGAGTGGCCCATGTTTGTAATCTCAACACTTTGGGAGGCAGAGATGGGAGGATCACCTGAGGTCAGGAGTTCAAAGATCAGTCATGGAGAAATCCTTTCTCTACTAAAAATACAAAATTAGCCAGGTATGGTGGCACATGGCTATAATCTCAGCTACTCGGGAGGCTGAGGCAGGTTAATCACTTGAACCTGGGAGGTGGAGGTTGCAGTGAGCTGAGATTGCACCACTGTACTCCAGCCTGAACAACAAAAGCAAAACTCCATCTACAAGGAGAAGAAGAAGAGGAAAAACAAGGAGGAGGAGGAAGAGGAAGAGGGGAGGAGGAGGAGGAAGAGGAGGAGGAGGAAGAGGGGAGGAGGAGGAGGAAGAGGAGGAGGAGGAAGAGGGAAGGAGGAGGAGGAGGAGGAGGAGGAGGAGGAGGAGGAGGAGGAGGAGGAGGAGGAGGAGGAGGAGACACACAGTATAGAAGCTGACTTCTCAAGTCACCCCCTGAAAGATAGTCACTATGAAGAGCTCCCCTACCAGAAACACCCTCACTGGACTTTGAGTAAGCGAGGAATAAGTTAGATGGTCTTAAGGCACACAGCTAAGGAGTTTCTTGTTACAAGAAATATCATCACTGTGCCCTAATGGACACCTGAGCCCATGATGTTCCACAGGTACTGTGCTGGTTTAGCTCAAGTCAACCTTACAACAACTCCAAAAGTGGGAATTAGTACTCCTATTTTATAAGTGAGTAAATGAGATTCAGAGAGGTTGCCAAATGGCCAAGGTCACACAGCAAGTAAAGAGGGAGCTTGGATATAAACCCAGTCCTGGCTTTCTCTTTCCACTGAGTCATTCTGCCTGCTCCCCTGGAGTGGAGAGTCTGTGAAAGAGAGTGGAGGAAGACACGCATTCCTGGCTTTGACTGGGTAGCAATTCCGCAGCAGAGTCCAGACGCTAGTTTCATTCTTTTTCCTGCTCCAGAAAAACACTAGAGTTAACTGCTAGAGAGAGAAACTCCAGAGGAATCAGTAGGGATGACTCGGTCACTCAGTCATTCTCCTTTATGCTTCATGGGACAGAGTGATGGAGAAATCAGGAGGAGCCTCATAATTAGCAATCACAGGGGTTAAATTAAAAGGAAAGGAAAAAACACCACTTAACCAGTCAACAAAATTATATAAAATTATCTGCTAGTATTTATACAAAGATCTGATGCTGCCCTCTGCAATAAAGGCTCTATATGGCTTGCAAGGCACAGTAAAATGAATTGTGCATTGGGCTGCTAGGCACTGTTAGAATAGCATGTTTATTTAAGCAGTCCCACAGCTTCAGACATTGAGTTGTAAAGGTCCAGTTGCAGTAAAGGGCTCAAGGAAGAGAGGCTCAGGTCCTTGCATTCTCCCTGGGGCCAAGTCACAGGGAGCTTCATGGTTGTCTATTCCGCTGGGTATTTTTCCTTAAACAGCCCCGCCTGACAACACCTGGCAGAGCCCTGAACATGAAGAGGTGTGATCTGTCTCTGAGTTTTGTTCCATAGCAAGTCAGAATGGAATTAGAAATGACTGTTTTAGAAGCTGAATGAGGACAGTTTCTCTCTACAGGGATTTAGACTGGATAAAGGGTGTCAGGTTCAAGTTCATTGAAGAAAAGACAAAAATGAGCTCAAGCAAGCATGATTGGGAGAAATCAGGATACTGTGAAGAGATGGCTTCCTATTCACCAAAGGTAGTGTCTGGTTGCTAGGAAACTGCTTCCCAGCCAGGGCTGTGTTTCCCTGTCTCCCTGCACCCAGGTGGAGCTGTGGAACGTCACTAATGGAATATGAGCAGAAGTACTGGGTGACTCTTTCTCACCAAAGAACTTGAGAAGCAGGGTTGCCTGCAATCCCCCTCCTTTTTCCTTCTGCTGCCTTCCTACAGAAGAACACAATCACCTGGAAATTGCATGTTAAAGATCACAGAGCCACAAAATAAAAGAAACCTGAATCCCCGAATCACCACCTGGAGACAAGCTAATGGCCAGTTAGGAAGATCCGGTTCAGACTTTATGTGAGTGGAAAGTAGACTTCTATTATGTTTATGCCATTACATTTTGGGGATTATTTTGAGAGCAGCTAGTATTATATCAATACAGTAACATTAAGTCCTAAGATTGAAGAACACTGCCTTCTTTTTACATTCATTTATGTGTAGCAAATATATGGCTGCTTTCCCCTACTATACCTACTGGAAATACTGTGAGTAGATTATAACATTTTTGCCATTCTTTCTGTGACCTCAGAATCCTTCTTAACATTGTAAATATTACCAATTTATTATGAGTTCCATGAAGATGTAACTTAAAATAAATATCTATTCCAACACAACTGTAAGTTTATTGAGACTGGTGTTTAAAAATCTATCATGAAGCATATCATCAAAACAGAGCAGCAGCTCAAAAATGTCACTGAATGAGTGAATTAGTTAATAAATGAGTGGATAGGTGTTCTACAAAGATCTTATTCTGATGTATTTCCAACCTTCCTTGGGTCAGAGAACTGCTAAAATCATGGGAGCTGATAATTAACAGAATAATAAAACTCAGGCTCCTAATGGACTTCAGGGAGCCTTCCTAGAATGATAGGTCTTTAGGCATTGATGGTCTCTCACACTTTGCTTTATCTTGCCTATACAGAAAAAGCAATCCAAACTGTTCACATCTGCTTTGAGATCCAGTGTCAGAAGACATGATGGAGAAACCCCTCTGTTGTTTGGGTGGTGTCTTGAATGTCATAGCTAGTCAGACTGTTTAACTGGACCCCTCCAAGAATATACGTACGCAGCAGTACTGATGGTCATCCCTTTCCCTTGTAAAGCACCAACTGCAGTAGCTGGATTCTTGCATCCACAATCTCATTTGATTATTTTATTTATTTAAGTAAAAAAAAGGAAATACATCCATTTCTCAGATGAAGAGAGAATCCCAGAGGGGATGTTCCTGACAACAACATAGCGTATTAGACAAGCTCAGGTTCAGAACCCAGGACTTCTACAATTTCATTCGTTTACTCATTCAGCTCATATTCGAAGAATATGTATTGATCAGGCACCTACAGCCCCTGGGTCTCAATGCATCAAAATGTCAGACTTCCACAGTGCAGATGGGTATTTCATCACATGCTCTCATGTTTGGCATTTTTTGAACTACAGTCCTTTTCTTTCCTTTTCTTCGTTTTCCTGGTGGAAGGAAAACAAGCAAATTTGATCTGAGCCTTGATATGTCCCTGCTTTTTCTTACCCCAAAGAATACCATATGCTGAAAGCGTCTATCTAAGCACAATCCAGTTACCATTGCAGGAGGCATCAAATAATTACATTAATTTATCAGACTGTTTGCACAAAGTTGTGGAAAGGATGTCACATCGGAAAAAACATTGAACCTCACTTCTAGAAATATGCGCAGTTTTGAATGTGGCTGGAAATAATGAAGAAGTGGTCTAAATTCAAGAATTGGAAAGTCTTTGATGGGCCCCCAGGACTCTGGAAGGGTTCTCTCAGTGCCTTAACCCAGGTTTTGGATTTACAATTTGAAAAATGCAGCTATCACTTCAGAGCCAATATCCATACACACTGCAATCCAGCTCTTTTGGCTACAAGCTGTCATGGCATCTGAGATAAACATGGGGCAACCCCACATGGAACTGGCCACTTGGTCACTTCCCCTGATTTAAGGGCCCTCTGATTCAGATGCTGACTTCCAGCCTAAGCTATTCTTATCAACATAAGAAGGTAAGAAGCTGAGGATGTCCACTGGAGCCATTCCTTCAACCACTGTGAGAGTCACATAAGCATTAATTCCTTGACTGATCCCTAGAGGTGAAATAGAAATTATCCTGGAAGCATGATGGCATTGTGAGTTGAAAGTTAACTGTCATAGAAAAATGAGAGTTTAGAGATCTTGGAGCATATAACATCTTTTTTTTTTTTTTTTTGAGAAGGAGTTTTGCTCTTGTTGCCCAGACTGGAGTGCAATGGCACTATCTCGACCCACTGCAACCTCTGCCTCCTAGGTTCAAGTGATTCTCCTGCCTCAGCCTCCTGAGTAGCTGAATTACAGGCATGTGCCACCATGACTGGCTAATTTTTTTTGTATTTAGTAGAGATGGGGTTTTACCATGTTGGTCAGGCTGGTCTTGAACCCCCAACCTCAGGTGATCCACCCACCTTGGCCTCCCAAAGTGCTGGGATTACAGGCGTGAGTCACCACACACGGCCAACAGCCTTTTTTTTTTTTTTTAATCCTTAGAAAACTTGCTTTTACAGCTCTCCAAGATTGCTTATCCAGTCTCATTTTCCCCTCCTACCCTGAAGGACTCTTTACTCCACTGCTCATAAACCTGTAACCACACCATTTTTATTCCTGCCTCCCGAAGTTTGTATAAACTATCTGAAATGGAGCTTTCCCTTCTATCTGTGGAAGCAAGTCCTACCCAGTCCTCTAAGGCAGTTTCAACTGTGGCATGCAATCACTTGTTTCCCCTGAACTTTCTATAGCCTGGAGACAAGGGTCCACACTACCCCATTCGCCGTCTTCCTTTGTTTATAATTGTTTCATGAGAAAAACACTCCTTCCCCAATCATGCTGCAAGCTCCTTTGGGAAGCATGGTCTTTGCATTTGCAACCCACCTGCGTGCAACCTCTTTCTTAGGACTTTGGAACTTACTGGGAGAGGAGAGGCTGAGTTTCTTTGCTTTCTCTCAGGCCACCCCGTTTGCAAGGCTGTAAGCAGTGTTAGTTTCCTGACCCATGTACAGGGATGCCTAGCAGAATTCTTTCATTTACTATCTCATCTCCTTTCTGAGATTATAAACATTGTGCAAAACAGGCAATATATTTTACACTCTAAATATAACTAAAAACTAAATATCCAATTTTTTTTTTAATTAAAGGTTACTGTTTATGCTGCTGTCTTTTGGGCAATGCATGTGGCCTGTGTCCTCAGGGGCCTCTGTTATTAGAGGCTATATTCAAAAGAGTTAATCTAAATTTTAGATTTAAGTGGGTTTTCCATCTGCTATGTATGGTTTTGAATACAAAATTTTTTGAGTATGGGACAATCTGTACAATTCTCTTAGGCATCCCTGCACGCCAGGTCAGGGAACTAAAAACGGTGGCATCCTTGGAAACGGGGTGGCTTAAGAGTAAGCAAAGAAACTCAGCCTCCTCTTCATTCAGTAACTTTTGGAAGTCCTAGGAAAGAAAGAGGCTGCACACAGGTGGGTTCCAAATTCAAAGTCCAGGCTTCCCAAAGGAGTGTGCAGGGTTATTGGGGAAGGAGCATAAATCATGGCAGTAGGTGGCATTTGTGCCTGCTGTACCCACCAACTTGTAAAGGGACCTTAATCAATTGCCCCAGTCCTCTCACGCCTCAGGCTGGCTGAGGGCCAGGCAGACCTCCAACATGAAATCCAGCAAATGTGATCTGGGCCTTGCTCTGCCCCCACCTTTTTCCTCTCTCAAAGAGGATTCTGGTGCCAGCACCATATGTTGGAAGGGCCCAAGCACAATCCTATTACCATTGCAGGAGGCATTAAATAATTACATTAATTTACCTAAATATGGAAAAAAAATCTTTACAAATCAGGGACACTTGGCAGATTTTCCAGCTGCACATTTTTCGCTTGGCACAGCACACTGTCCTGTTGGGTTCCCATTGCTACTTGGAGTGTTTCCTTTAATTGTGGGGCACATGCCTTCTCTTGTTCTGTTTAATTTTCTCAGAGCTGGTTCCACATTCCGGCTACAAACATATTATAGGAAAAAAATGCCCACAAAAGTATGGATTGTGCTTGAGTGTACCCTAAGGGAGAGTGCATAAAAATAGTAATTTCTTGTATAGGAAACCTTCCATGGGGCGGTCTTTCACTAGATTGCATTGCGAAAAATAAAAGGCTGAAGGCCTGAAAGAGGGAAAAGGGCAAAGGAAGGAAAGAAATAAAACTGGGAGAGCAGAAAAGGGCTCTGCAGTGGAGTCTCCGTGGGCACACACTGGAATTCCATGAGTGTGAATATGGTGCACTAGACTTGTCTTTGGTCTTGTAGTGGAAACGTCACCGAAGGAAAGTCTGCATTTTCATGGCCAACGCTTGCTGTTAACTGTCTCTGGTCAGTGTTTTCCCTGCCAATGTTTGCTGTGTCTAAATCGCAGACCTCCTGCCGCGGAATCGAGGGCTGAAGTGCAGATAATATTCACAGAGACCCCACTTCCCTGACTCAGCCTGTCCTCACAGGAAGGCCACAGAGAGTGACTGCTACCTACACAGCCAACTCCAGAGGCCGAGAAAAGGGAGGCCCTGGCCTCTTACAGGTTCCCCTGACTAGAGACTGCCTGGGATTCCCATCCTTGGGAAAGGACCTCTAGAAGGTGCTTCTCAAATCCTCTGTGTCTTTTGTTTTCAGTCTACTGAAGACCATTAGTAGTAGTAGCAGAAGTAGCAGTAGCAGTATTTTGTATGATAGCACTTGGATGTCTCAGTAAGGTCAGCTTGCTGGATTACATTTCTAAGTACTTCCTCTTTACTTCTAGCCTTGCCTTACCATGGAGAGGTAGCAAGCAGCAAATGAGCATCATTCTATGGCCCACACCTTGAGTCGCTCAGTTCTAGACACAGGGAGGTGAGATTCAGCTAAACTGGCCCCTTCCAAAAGAGGCTGTGCAGGGACTTGCACTGACAGTGGGGGTAGATGACAACTGTCACATCACAGAGAAGGAGCAGCTGGGGCCTTGGAGATGAAGCTTCCCAGTTCCCAGAGTTTCCAGAGCATCCACTGAGCCTGCAAAGAGCTTTGGTGATTGGCCTTCTACCACTGTCTCTGAGGTCTGTGGAGCCAGGTTAGCTGGAAAGGGCTGAGCATTCTTTTCTAAGGTAGTGTGTCTCCCCTTGTTAAAAGATAATAATGTGCAGATAAGACTATAGTGAAAATATATTAGAGGAAGCAGAAAAGTGTGACTTTTTACTTCCCTTCTTACTTCCCTTCCCAGAAGTGGTACAGATTCCATTCAGTGAAACACTGTGCTAGTCTGAAGTCACAATCCTGCAAGGCCTCTGGCTGTGGACATGATAAAAGTCTTAATTTTCTGACTTAACCACGTTCCTTTCCTGCTCATCTTCTCATCTCCAGCCCTTGGTAGGCACTGTGACTTTTCCTCCTCCTGTTGCTCATTCCTGCCGTGGCTTGATGCCACATTCTGGTCCATCTTGCAGTCTCAGCATCGCTGTCAATAAGCTTGTAATACAGTTTGGCTCCATGTCCCCACCCAAATCTCATCTGGAATTGGACTCCCACAATTCCTACATGTGGTGGGAGGGACCTGATGGGAGATAATTTGAATCATGGGGGAGGTTCTCTGATACTGTTCTTGGAGTAGTAAATAAGTTTCATAAAATCTGATGGTTTTATCAGGGGTTTCCACTTTTGCATTATCCTCATTTACTCCGGCCACCTCCATGTACGAAGTGCCTTTCCCCTCCCATCATAATCCTGAGGTTCCCCCAGCCATGTGGAACTGTAAGGCAATTAAACCTCTTTTTCTTCCCGGTCTCAGGTACGTCTTTATCGACAATGTGAAAACGGACTAATAGATCTTGTTACAAATGTAGAACCTTAGGCCCTGCTCTTTCCTGGAACTATTTCCTCAGATTCCATGAGTTAACAATAGCCTCAAGGGATTTCTATCTACATTAGAGTTCCAGACACGCTGCTCTAGGAGGCTCTCACAGTTTCCTATCATCTGTGTTTGGGGCTCCCTTCTGCCATGTGGGAGAGGGTATATTCAAGCAGGACAACTGAAAAAGGTTGGATGGTAGGAAATCAATAAGTTGAAGCAATAAAGCTAGCAAATCAGGGAGTTGCCACCACCCCTAACTCTGAGAAGGCAAAGACAAGAAGTCACTAGAATCTTAGAAGCTGTCCATGGAGCCTTCCGACAGCAAGTGTGGCCTTCGGTGGAAGAAGCAGGGAATGTACTATACTTTCCAAGCCCAGGGGAAATAGATACCCCATCACTCCCTTATTCCCTCTCTCTCTGCTGCGAATGTCTTTGTTATGGGTGGGATGTGGTCCTTATACTGAAGTTCTAAGCCCCAGAACCTCAGAACATGACCTCATGTAGAAATAGGGTTGTTGCAGATGTAATTAGTTAAGGGAAGTCATGCTGTAGTAAAGCAGGCCCCTC